AAATCCAGGGAAAGGGACCTCAGAAACTCCAAATCCAGGGAAAGGGACCTACGAGACCCCAAATCCAGGGAAAGGGACCTCAGAAACCTCAAATCCAGGGAAAGGGACTTCCAAGCTCACAATTTCAGGGAAAGGGACCTCAGAGCCCCAGATTTCAGGGAAGAGGGACCTCCGAGGTGGCAAATTCCAGGGAAAGGGATCTCCTAGCCCCCAAATTCAGGGAACGGGACCTCCGAGCCCCCAAATCCAGGGAAAGGACCTCCAAGCCCCAGATTCCAGGGAACAGGACCTCCAAGCCCCCAAATTCCAGGGAAAGGGGACCTCCAAATCCCCATCCCGGCTCTCCCATCCCACTCCAGCCCTTCCCGTGGCAGCCGGGAGCAGAGACAGGGATGCGGCTGCTGGGAGAAGGGACCTACGAGGCCCCAAATCCAGGGAAAGGGACCTCAGAAACTCCAAATCCAGGGCAAGGGACCTACGAGACCCCAAATCCAGGGAAAGGGACCTACAAGCCCACAATTTCAGGGAAAGGGACGTCTGAGCCCCAGATTCCAGGGTAAGGGACCTCCGAGCTCCCAAATCCAGGGAAAAGGATCTCCAAACCCCTATCCCAGCTCTCCCATCCCGCTCCAGCCTTTCCTGCAGCAGCTTGGAAAAGAGGCAGGGATGCGGCTGCCGGGAGAAGGGACCTACGAGACCCCAAATTCCAGGAAAGGGATTTCTGAGCCCCCGATTCCAGGCAAGGGGACCTCCAAGCCCCCATCCCGGCTGTCCCGTCCCGGTTTTCCCGTCCCGCCCCAGCCCTTCCCACGGGAGCCCTCTCGTGGCCGATCCCACGCTCGGAGCTTTCCCGAAAAAATCCTTTTCCAGCCCAATTCCATCTTTTCCCAGCCCAGGAGATGCTGCTCCAGCCTGGCACGTCCCAGCCCTGCACGATGCTCCGGGAGCTGCATCCCTCACTCCCTCCCTCCCGGGGTCGGGAAAACCTCGGGAGTCAGGAAAAATGGATATTTAGAAAATCCAGGAGAGCAAAGCGGAGCTTTGCTTCCCTTCCTGGTGGATCTGGCAAGGGACACCTGTGCCAGGGTGAGGGGACACCTGGAAAAAGGGGGACACCTGGGACAAGGGGGACACCTGAGCCCAATTCCATGTATTTATCCCCAAACCCCTGACATCACCTGAGCTCTCAGCCAAGCCCTTGTCCAGGCACCCTGTGGCTGATTTCCCTGCTCCAGGTGTAACATTCCCAGGGATTCAGGCTGCTCTCCTGGCCCTGGATCTCATGGGCAGCACACACAGGATCTGACAAAAGCAAATTTATTTTCTTTTATGAAGCTTATATTACATGCATGGAACAAAGCCAGGACAACAGGTAACAGCAGGGCTGGGGTTTTGTCCAGATTCCATCAGTTTTTCTGGAATCCAGAGGCCAAAATCAAGGATATTTTGCTCTTAGAAAATACAATCATAATACAAGGAATGTTTTTTTTTATTTTGTTTCACTCCAATTCCTCCTCCTATTCCCTGCATACAGCAAATGCTCCAAAAAAAGGAGGCAGGAGGGAAAAATCTAAACCACACACACGCCCCCCCCCAAAAAAAAATTCCCTAAAACCCACTGAGATGGGAGGACCAAACCTAGCTCTATCCAGAGAAAAAAAAAATACAAACAGAACAGCAGGAATAGAGCTCTGACAGGAGCAGTACCCTCAGGATTTTCCTAGAAATAAAAAACATTTTCCACATTTGTTCAATGAGATGCTCCAAATCCCTCCGGATCGCTTCCCTCGGGGTTTGGAAAAGCAGCTGGATACACAAAGATTGGTTTGGAAAATACAAATATTGCATTCTTGGCAGAGTCTGCTGGATATTCTGGATATTGCCACCACCAGCAGAGCGAGGTGGAGATGCAGAGCCTGGCACAGGCTGGCTCCCAGGTGCGCTGCTGGGCCCAGGTGGGGCTGGCAGGGTGCTCAGGGTGGATTTGGGGACTGTCACCCGCTCCCTGCTCAGTCCCCCGTCACCTGCGTGGCCTGGGTGTCCGAGCTCTGGCTGCTGGACTGGATGAACATGGGCTGGGTGATGTCCTGGCCCGCGGGCATCGTCACCTGCTGGATCTGGTACAGCTGCTGCGGGCACGGGAGGTGACAAAGGAACCTCTGTCAGTGCCCAGCACATCCAGAACCTCCCCCACCTTCCGCCCCTCTGAGGTACCCCAAAAACCCCAAACCCGCCACGAGCCGCCACCAAATCTGCTGCATGTTCCCACCAAAGTCCCTCTGGGAATTCCTGATGCCCAGGCTCTCACCAGGGCCCTTCTGCCCATGGATTTCCCAGAGCTGCTGGCAGATCCGTGGGCAGATCCTTTCCCTGGATTCCTGGGAAGCTCCAAAGCCAGGGCTTGGAGCATCCTGGGATAGTGGGAGGTGTCCCTCACTTGGTTGGAAATGGATGAGCTTTAAGGTGCTTCCAACTCAAACCACTCCATGATTTATGATACTCATGGAACATCCAGATGTTAAAACCTTTACTGCTGAATCAGGAATTTAGGATTTCATCTGGAGTGCCAGGGACTGGATGAATTCAGAGCAAAGGCAGCAGAACTAAGAATCCACGTGATTTTAGACTGGCGCAACATTCCCTTATCCTGCTGTGGGCCAGCAGTGTTTTATGAGGAGGAACGTGCAGATTTAGGACAGCCCCCGTGCCCCTTGTGCCCCCCAGCTCTTACCTGTCCATCTGTGAACTGGCTGAACTGCTGCTGCCCCTGCTGCACCTCTGTCTGCGTTATCTACAGAGATAAGAGCACTGATCACTGCCAGCCCTTCCCACCAAGGCTCACAACCCCACCACCACCATCCTGCTGCTGCCTGGGCAGAGCTTTGGAACCTCAGCCACGTTTTCCAGCGCCCCAACCGCGAGAGGAACGGCAGCCACGGACACCTCCGGAACAAACGCCGCCTTCCAGATCAAACACCACCTTCCAGATCAAAACCAGGTCCTTCCAGACCCCAAACCAGGTCCTTCCAGACCCCAAAACCATGTCCTCTCTGCTTCCCCCAAGGAGAAGGTGGCCTCCAGGCCAGCGGGAAGGATCCCTCACGGCCTCGACGCCGCTCCCGACGTTCTGCCTTTCCTGCACGGCTCCTCCCTCACCCGGGCAAGAAGGAGAAGGAAAGAGAAGTTGGATGAGCCCAAAATGTTGCCTGCAAGCAGCTCAGAAGCAGCGGGGGCTTCACCCAGAGCCACACACACACACACATACAGACAACAAAAGCTTTGCATGCACCTCTCATGGACACCTAAAGGAGGTTTCCGCTACGCTCCTTCATTTAAAAATAAAAAACTCTGACAAACAGGAAGAAAAGCAAAGTAGGAATCCTAACCCAAGAGGTGGTTGAAATCCCCTGGAAGTCGCAGCTTCAGGAGCTAGGGAAGAAGCCTTGGAGGCAGCTCTGGGGAGTGCATACCTGCTGTGCATTGGTTGCAAGCGTCTGGATCTGCCCCTGGACTACCTGGGTGCCTGACACGGGTTGGGCTAAGCGGATATACTGCAGCTGGCCAGCATTCAACTGCACCTGGAGACAGGTGGAGGGGGCAGGGAAAGAAAATGAAACAGGTCACTCTGCACCCTCAACACACAGCAAAAATCCCTGCTCGGTTCCACCGCGGGAGATGGAGTTATGGGGGAGCTTTCCCCAGGAGCTCCACGGAATTCTGGAGGGTTCCCAGCAGGAATCACCACAAGGGACCCTAAAGGAAAAACCCCAGGGCACAGAGCTCCAGGATATCCCTGAGGCATCACATTCCTCCTTTTTTTTTCCAGGCTGGGAAGGGTCAGTTAGTAGCTAAAGCATATTAATGGCTCAGTTTCTCAGGGATTTGGAAGCACTTTTGGTTACAAGGATTAAGTTTTACTCCTTTGAGGCAGCAGTTCGCATCAGCTGTTAGGAGCTGGCAGCACCAAATCATATCCTGCACCCTTATCAATCATATCCTGCACCCTTATCAATCATACCCTGCACCCTTATCAACCATATCCCGCCAAAAATTAAGGAATAAACAGGAATTTTCACCATGAAACCAGCAGAGATGGCAAACCCCAAAGATATTTTTGGAGGATTTGAAGGCAGCTCTCTGCCAACACCTGTCAAGTCCCACCTGGCAGAAGCTCAGCTTTTTGGTGTCAGTGCCTCATGTGAGAGATTCAACCCCAAATTTATTCCCTGAATCCCATAATTTTGGGAGGTTGGACGCTAGGGAATGTGGGACATGAAGAAAATACAGGTAACACTGTTAATACACACCTGAGAGTGATAAAAATGTCACACTGTTGGATTTTCCTTCTGTTATTTAACTTTGCAATGTTGAGATTCACAGCTTTAAGGGTAATTTTATACAAAAAAAAGTATTTTTTTCTTTTTAAGGGGAAAGAACACGCAGAACACTCTAAAAAACTGCTGAGAAAGAAGTGCCTGGAATGTGGTCCTGGCATTTCCACAAAAAAGCCACCAACTCCCTCATTTGTGTCTGAAAGCTCCAAAATTATTTCAAGAGCAAATAAAACTCCCCCTGAGCAACAAAATTCCAATAAAGAATTGGTTTCTGCACTGAGTTCTGCAGGGATGTCAAGTTTTCCATGCTGGGGGAATTAGGTTTTAATTACATCATTAAATGATGGTGGAAGAGATGTGGGAAAATTTCTTCCAGCAAGGAGAGGAAGCTCCAAAGAACCTGCCCCAAATGAGGTCTGGGTAAGACAAAGATTCAATTTAACATAAAATTCAATTATCACTTCATTGATGGATTCACTGCCAGTTTTTCTCTGTTAAAAATTCACTTTTCCACTTTATTTCTGGAATAAAGAGCAACAGGGAGTGTGCCTAGGACCAGGAACATGTGGAAAACCAGGAATGAGATGCTCCCAACACTCCAGAGGCATTTTGAGTTTCAGGAGAGTTTCCAGCTCTGTTTGGGTGATCCAAGACTCTGCTGGGCCCTCAGAGTGCACAGAGCAGTCAGAAGAGGCTCTGACTGTGCCAAAAGAGAAAGGAAATAAGGGAAAAAAATAAGAAAAGCAAAGCAGGAAGAGCAGAACAGATCAAGGACTGGAATTTTGTGGGGCCAAATCCAAGTTTTTTTCTCCCAGTTTTATTTTATTTCACTCGCTGGAAGCTCCCTCAGCATCAACAGAAGAATCCTCCAGGTTGCAGCCAAACAGGATCTCTGCTGGATGGGGGGCTGGGAATTGGGATTATTCCATCCCACGTTGCTGGTTTGCAGTCTTGGAGCTGGCAGAGATCCCAAAAAGATTCCAGATTCCAGCCACAGCTCCCTGCTCTCCCACAGTGCCAGGAAAGAGGGAGGAAAAAGCAAATTCTTGGTCAAAATCAGACCCTAGAACCCCTCCAGTCTGTCCAAAAACACAGGATCACTTCCCAAAGGATCCCCCTGGATTTTCTTCAGGAGGTTTTGGCCCTGAACAGATCCTTCATAAGGAATTTTTTCTCCCAAGAGATGTCCAAGCCCCTTTCTGTAGTTCCAGCATTCTCTGGAGACAGCTGGGACAAATCTGAGCTGAGGATCCACTGGAGTTCTTCTTCCACAATTCTTTGAGGAACAAATCTCTTGGAGAGATTTTCACAAGGAAAAGAAGAGGAAAAAAAAATGGAAAAGAAGGAAAAAAAAGAAATGGACAAGAAAATGTAGAGAAGAAAAAGGATTCTTTGTAGTAAAAAAAAAACCCAAAACACAACAATTTGGGAATTTCTTCCAACTCAAGGCAGCAGGAATCAGCTGAAGACTCAAAAAGATGAGAAGAGCTGGAAAAATCTGGCAGCTCCCTCAATCCAAACCCTTTCCAAGATGCTCTGACCAGGAGCAGAGGGAAGCTCAGCAAGGCTGGGAAGGCAAAACCTGTGTGAAAGCTCCAATTTCACAGCAAAACTGAAATCCAAGTGAAATGTCTGGCCCTGGGTGACCTTTGGGTTCTGGAACACAGAACTGGCTGGTTTTTATTTGTATTTTTTCCTCTAACAGGTGTGATATTTTCCAGCTGGAAACCAAAAGCCACAGCTTTGTTGTAATTCTAAGTTAATGTGACTTTCTTGACCTCTGTGTTTACTTAGGACACGTTTCAGAAAGTTTGGGTTACGTTGGGCACCCAAAATCCCATTTTTAAGTCTGATGTAAAAGTGAGGAGGTATCTCTTGGTTTTGCAAAGCCATTCCTCTAACCAGCTCCAAATATTTTGGAGAAATATTTCTTTTAACATCAAGGTTTATTAATAACTCCCAGATGGCAACTTTCCCACTCAGCCTGCCAGGTCACGACTTCAGATTGCAGAGGCACAACCAAGTAAAGGCAAAAAGAAATGAATTCTCTTTTATTCCAACCAGGCTGTGGTGAAGAACTGAGGTTTAGCCAGGAAATATTTGATTTATTGCTTCCTAATCACAACTATTTCACTCAGGGTGAAGGCGTTTGGGGTGGGCAATGAGTCTGGACTAAATGAATGAAGATTTATTTCTCCCTTTATGTCACACTTGGTTGGTTTTCCTAAGTGCAGGAACCACACCACTCAATCCAAGCTTCCTCTGCCAGTTAATAAAGCAAACAGAAACAAGCCTCATGCTCACAAATTTGGTTTTTTCCCTTTTCCACCTTTCCTCCTGGCCGAATCTTACCGGGATTTGCTGGATTTCTCCCGTGTTGGTGATGATTTGCTGCATCACTTGCATGGTTTGTCCTGTGCTGCTCTGACCCTGCTGGCTCTGGCCCTGGGGCTGGGCCTGCACGATCTGGACCTGCTGCCCCTCTCCCACCTGCATGGTCACGGGGGTGGTCTGCACAAAAAAAAACAGGGATTGGGATCCAGGAAGTGGAAAATCCATCAGATGTCAGGATTGGGGCAGATTGAGCCTGTCCTACACACACAAATTTGGTGTAGGATCCCAAATCTGTGGTGATTTGGGGTTAAATCAGCACAGAGGGAGCTCAGAGCCTGGGGGAGGCACTTTCCTGGAGGATCTGACCCAGGTTTCTGAACCAGGAACCACATTTGAACCAGGAGAGCTGAGGCTGTCCCACAGAAATGTCCAA